CTTGGCTGGGAACTGGCGCCTGGGCAGCGAGCGGAGGAGCTCCCCTGCCCACCCCCTTCCGCCCGCCAGCCCTTTCCCTCCTTCCACTCCCTCCGCTGACTAAGAAAAGGAAACTTTGTGTCTGCGGTGGACCGTGTGGGAACCGGCGCAGAGCAAAGCAAGAGGCTCAGGCGAGCGCCCGGCATCCGCAGACACGGCCGACGGGCACACTTAGGACTTGTCGCCCTCACATCCTGTCGCCAGACGGCTGTGCGCGTGTGCCTGTGTCCGTGTGGTGGCCTGTCCTTGTGTTTGGGATGGAGGCCCGTGTTCCCAATGCATCGCCTCCCCTTCCCATGGTCTCCCTCCAAGCAGGTGCCGGTGTAGGCTGGACTGGCCCTGTCGGGCAGGGCATGGGGGGCGGCCCAGCGTGGCCCCAGAGCCCCTCCGTCCCCTCTCTGACAGGACCCTGCCCTCCTATGACTCCCCAGGCCTGAACAAGACGTCTTCTTTCTCCTGTGAAGCCCATAATGCCAAGGGCGTCACCACATCCCGCACGGCCATCATCACAGGTGACAGAAAAGGGACCTGGGGAGCTGGGTGTCAGCTGGTGTGGGGCTGGGGTCAAAGGTCAGAGCTTGGGTAGAAGGCGGGGTGGGGAGCTCTGGGCAAAGGCCCCTCAGGTCAGTCCTTCCTCTCATCTCCACAGTGCTCCCGCAGCGGCCCCACGACGTCCACTTGGTTTCCAGCCAGCCCACAGAGCTGGAGGTGGCTTGGACCCCAGGCCCGAGTGGCATCTATCCCCTTACCCACTGCTCCCTGCAGGTGAGACTCAGGCTTTGCTGGCCTCAGTCCCAGCCCCCCCTTCCACCCACACCCACAAACCCTCAGCCTCTCCCTGGGTAACCAGCCCTTCCCAAGTATGTGTGTGGAGGCAGCAGAGCCTTGGGTGAAGCCAGGTGTCCTGGGTTCAAACCTTGGCTCCGCCAGCTGCTGGCTGCATGAGCTCAGGTAGGTGACTTAACCTCTCTGGGTCTCAGTTCTCTCATCTATAAAATGGGCATAATGGTAGTACCTACCTGAAAGGCTTGTTGTGATAATCCAATGGGTAAATGCAAGTAAGAAATTTAAAATAGTATCCAGAACTTAGGAAATGTGTAATAGACTATTAGCTGTTTCAGGGTTTTTTTTTTACTATTAGTGATATTGACTCTAGTCAGAATGGGAACCCTGAGACAGCCATCTCTGTCACCACTGGGTACCCCAACCCTGCTTCTCCCACCTCAGCCCTGATCCCTCTGGGTTGTCACTGTCTGGGGGTGAGTCTGTCTCCCCCATGGACTGAGCTCCTGGAGGGCACAGCCACGCTGCCTCAGTCACCGCTAGGTCCTCATTATTGCCCAGCTCAGGGCCCGTCAAAAGACTACCTGACGGCTGAGAGGAGCCAGACCAGCCTTCTGCACCCAAGCTGCTCCTCCTCTAGAGTAGGAGAAACGAACACACAGATCTGTGAATACAAGATCCAGCTCTGGCCTGAAAGTTCTCTGTCATTCGGAAGTTGGTGGGACAGTGCGCGTGATGGGAGGTGACAATAATTAATAATGGCCAGCTTTATTAAGTGCCGGCTATGTGTCGGGCCTTGTGTTACGGCTTTACACGCCCGCCCTTATGTGTTTGTGAAGCACGGTCCATGTTTACACCCATTTGTCAGATGAAGAAACTAAGGCTCAGAGTAGTTAAGCAGCTTGCCCAAGGTCACAGCCAGGAAGCGGCAGAGGTGGGATTCGAAGCCCAGGGAGCCCCGGAGCCAGAGCCTGATTAAACAGCAGCTGCCTTTCTTACACTCACACGCCCTGGACACAGCCTCATTCACGTGTCGTTTTAACCTTAAAAGTAGCAGCTGTTAGCCACCCCGTTTTCAAGGTAAGGAACTGAGGCCCAGGGAGCGGAAGCTCAAGGGGATGAAACTGATTCTGCCCCAGAGCCCGGGTCAGTTGGGGAGACCTCAAATGCCATCAGCTGTCCCCCTGCCCCACACCCGTCCAGTGGCCCCAGGAAAAGCAGAAGTGTGTCTTCTTCCCTCTGCAGGTCTCACTTCCTACTGCGCGTGGGCTTGGGCTGAAGGGCTCCAGTGAGAGGGTCACAGGCACCCCAGGGAAAAGAGAAGTGGGGGGGCACGGGGAGGCTGACTGTCCGCCTCTTCATCCCCTTTGTCCCAGCAGAGGTTCCTCTTCCTGCCCTTCACTGTGGGTCCAAAAGCGGGCATGGGGACAGCCTCCCCCCGTCCTGCTACCCACCATCTGCCCACCTCCTCCCGAGGCCTCGGGATGGTCTCATCGCCACATGCGGGAGCCACGTGACTTAGGGCAAGGGGCTGAACCTCTCTGGGCTTCTGTTTCCTCATCTATAAAATGGGAATGAAAAAAGAAATTGACCCCATAGGGTGGTGGTAAGAGGTCACGGAGTTCACCCCAACAGGCGCTGGACGGGGCGCTTGGCACGTAGTTAACACCCAAGTGATGTTAGCTGTTGACGTGACGTGCGCACCAGTTTGTGTGCCGCACGGGTGTGTTCCCCAGCTGTGGCCCTGCCGTCCTGACTGTGCCGCGGTGTGCGGAATGGACGCTTGTTGCCGGGCAGCCTCACACACAGACACAATGCTAATAACGGCAAACACTCAACCACACGGGCACTCTTCTAAACGCTTGGGAGCATCATTTCAGTCAACCCTGCGAAGGAGGGAGCCATTGCTGTACCCATTTTACAGATGAGGAAACTGAGGCCCAGAGAGGGACCGTCTTGCCAGAGGTAGCTCCTGCAAATAATGGCAGAACTGCATCGTGCAGCTGGGTGGTCTCCTTGCTCTGCAAAAGCAGGTGCCCATGGAGCACAAGAATGATGCTACGGGCCACACACACACACACACATCCTTGCAAAGCTGTGTAATCACTAGGACCACCCCATCGAGCGCTGTCTGACTGCTCGTGTGAGCGCGTGGCCCTCCGGCCCTCAGGCCCCTCTCCTCTCCCCAGGCTGTGCTGTCAGACGATGGGGTGGGCATCAGGCTGGGAGAGCCGGAGCCCCCGGAGGAGCCCCTCACCGTGCAAGTGTCTGTTCCCCCTCACCAACTGCGGCTGGGCAGCCTCCGTCCTCACAGCTCTTATCACATCCGGGTGGCGTGTGCCAGCAGCCAGGGCCCCTCACCCTGGACCCACTGGCTCCCCGTGGACACGCAGGAGGGAGGTAAGAAGAGGCTGGCGGGGGGAGACGTTGCCAGCGGCTCCCTGGGCCTTGCTCACATCAGTGCCACCCCAGCATCTCCTCTCACCCACTTACCCCACGTGGCCTCTATGTCCTTCCCGTCCGGTCCCCACTCCTCAGCACAGCACTGGCACCTCTCCCAGGCCGTCCCTGTGCTTCCGCTCCCGGGAGGCCTGCATGAGTTGCCCATGCCCGTGCCCTTTGCACCCTGCCTCTGCTTCCTGGGGACAGGGGGAGGGAGGTCAGGCAGAGATAGGGGTGCCAGCTTCCCCTCTTCCCTGCTTCCAGTCCCCCTGGGCCCCCCTGAGAATGTCAGCGCCATGCGGAATGGGAGCCAAGCCGTCGTGCGCTGGCAGGAGCCAGGGGCACCCCTGCAGGGCACTCTGTTAGGGTACCGGCTGGCCTATCGGGGCCAGGACACCCCCGAGGTGGGTGCTGCTGGCTGGGGTGGGGTGGAGGAGCTGGGGAGGAGGGGGATGGGGTGGAGAGGACAGGCAGACATGGACGGTCATTCAGGTTGGGTAGCATGTGATCACACTGTGCCCAGGACAGCACGTGGTGCGGAGTTACAGAGGCGCAGGGGACCGTCAGGGACATAAGCAGTTCAGTAGACATAAGTTTTTCTATGACGATTTTACAGCAGGTAGTCGTAAGCATCCTGAGGAAGGGGTGCCTTTTCTAATTTGCACAAAGGTATTATCCGTGCGAACAGCATCCCTGGGGTGGAGAGAGAGGGTGGGAAAGGGGGGGAGAAGGGGATGGCGAGATGAGGGCGGAAGGTGAGGGTTCAGTTCTTCAACGTAAGTGTTGTGTGCCAGGGACCCTGGTAGGACTTGAGGCCTCGGCACTGAATGAGACAAAGTCCTGTCCTGGGGGAGCTGACATTTTAGCGGGCAGGGAGATGGAGAATGGAGAAGAAAGGGGTGAGATGAAGGGTAGGAAGAGGAAGGGCAGGAGGCGCTGGAGCTGAGGAGAGGGTCTGCAGGAGGTCGGAGGGCTGAGGCCGAGGGCGAAGGCTTTGAAAGTTGGCAACCTGGGGCTCTTCCTTGATGCCACGTCTGGGTGGCCTAGGTGCTAATGGACATAGGGCTAAAGCAAGAGGTGACCCTGGAGTTGCGGGAGGACAGGACTGTGCCCAACCTGACAGTGTGCGTGGCAGCTTACACCGCCTCCGGGGACGGACCCTGGAGCCGCCCTGTGCCCCTGGAGCCTTGGCGCCCAGGTAACTCCAAAGCCATGTCAATCCCTCAACCTGCCCACAAGGACCTTGTCTCTCCCAGGTGTCCCTGACTTGCTCTCTGCACTTTCAGTGTTACCCTAGTCTAGGCTCTGTTCCTACCCAGAACCTCACCGAGCCTCACACCCTCACCCGTGTCACACCAGTCTTGCCCTCCCTGAGCATGTCCTCCTCTGTCCTTTCTCCTCACAGGACAAGGACAGCCAATGCACCAGCTGGGTAAGGGCTTTCGCATCCCCTCTCCTCCCTCCCTTCCCTCGAGGCCCAGAGAGGACCCCATCATCACTCGCATATTCTTTGCACATCTTTCATGTTTCTCAAACTCATTGCTCTAATCCTCTGTTTCTTGGGTTTGTGTGGTCCTTGGTGGAGGTGCCTGGAATAGCCCAGCAGATTGTAGGAACTCAGTGGATGGTGGGTGGGGGGATGGATGGATGGATGGATGGATGGATGGATGGATGGATGGATGGATGGATGGGTGG